TTATTTTAGTTGTTGTGTATATCTAGTATATATATATATATATATATATATATATATATATGTGTGTGTGTGTGCGTGTGTGCGTATATATGTGTTTGATACATATGCATGTGAATTAAGGACTATAACTTATGTATATGTAAATATTGATACAAACGTTCTTGTTTCTTTTCCATAAAGATACATACATGTACATTGTTACGTGCGGTAAACTATCTATCTCACGTGTTGTAAAAATCGGAATGGCACAATCTAGTGCATGCCCATTGACAATATCACCATTTGCTCAATTTGTAATGGGAAATGATCTACAAGTAGTATTGCAGCCTTGCACATCCTGGAAACTGGTACATTATACCTAATACGGCATCACAGGTAGACCTGAGACATACGTGCACATACAGGAAACCCCACACTTACGTACACACATTACTTTCGAGCTACCATCAGTTCATAGCATATTGAATGTCTGTACAATAATTACAGCTATTTGAATACATAACCACGATTCTTTCCTCGAAAATCTTATACAAATACTGTGTTGGAAACGATACTTTTAATTTTCCGCTTCTCTTTGTTTGGACTGCAGAATCAGAGGACGCTACAGCAATAGAGTCGCTCCCAGACGAATCTTCGGCATAATTCACTTTGCTTGCAGCTCTCCTAGAGGCACGAGACGGATTCCGGCGTCCCTCCATTATCGTGGTGCTAAGACGCTGGTCTAAAGTGGTCAGCTTGTATGGTCTGCAGTACCAAACAGTCCTGATATACTAATACTTATATACGACACAAAAAATACGTTCATTTGAGCTATGATTTTTATTACAGATACATATACATATACATATATTTACAGTTATCATTAGCATCACCAGTACAGTAGAATGTCAACAATTAATGACAGTCTTTGGTGTCATCGAAATCTGTCGATTACTTTTTTTTAGAGTTTTTATTCGGCCGCTCATGACCTCCAAAGTTCCATTTGTGTTCCACATTTGAGTTCTGGGGTGAGGTGAAGGCCCAGAATCTCAATCCAGACGGTGAGAAGTATTTATGTGTAGACACCGAATCGTTGTATTTATGTATTATACGCACTAAATTGTTACGCTTGATACCCGGCTATCAGGACAGAACAGCAGCACTACAACATGCGGTCACTCAACGCAATCACGTCGCGTGCACTCTGCATACACTCAGTTCTTTGCCGATGGGGTATTGAAAAATCGCTGCAGACTCAGGGCCCTGAACTACTCAAACCACGTGAACAGCTTGAGGAGGCTGCTTCCAAATTGCTTGTAGCTGTTTCCAACCCTAGCCTTGCGGAGACACTGACGAAGAAGGTGCGTAGGGTGAAAAATTGCACGTGCAGGGAACCAATCTCTAACTGCTGTTGTGTTTTGAGCGCTGATTGAAGTCGACATAATATGGACTCGTATGTTATTAGTCTTTGGCTCATTTACCTGGATCAATGGTATGCGTTACGTAACCAATGATGGGACACTTATTTTGACTAAGTTGGGGATATAGTGTGTTAAAGTATACATGGCCAAGCAGTGTTATCAGCAAAATTGATATTCTATCACAAGTATTATGTCCAAGAATAGGTATAGAACGGCTTGATTGTGTGAACACTCAGAATTAGGCATATTTATCGATCTGCTCCTCTATTTTGTATGCATAAACATGTGCATGTCTGTGCATAAATTCGTATGTCTGTATACATTTGTGTGTAAGCATATATATATATATATATATAAACACACACACACAC